CAAGATCGTCCAAAGATTTCAAAATATTGTCAACAGGGTTTAAAACTCCTCCAGCTTTAATATAAAATATCTTTTGATTGTCTCATCTGAACCATTGAATCGACACAGTGGAGTTTCGGGATGGGAAAACCTGTATAATTGAGAAAACTTTAGGGTCGCTGAGTTTCAAGATCTTCTATCAAAGATCTATTCACTGTCAGAAACTTAAACTTCAGTTACTCTGTTTTCTGGCCAATCGTGGATCAAACTTAATGAGCATCCTTAAGAGGATCCCTAACTAGTAAGAACTAACCGCAAATTCGATGACCAAGTCATTGTCCAATATTTTCATGATTTAGAGAAGGGAATGTGCCTCTGATGGCTTCATCTCCATCATGGTCGTGCAAACTAATGCGTTGTCTCCGATGAACCTTCAGAAGTTGTAATCAAAGCATGGGAGTTCTTGTCATTACGAAGACATCTGTTACTAATAAAGGTAATGAATTCCTTTTCCTTCATCTCATTACGCTCAAGAGGTAGGCTCTGAGAAGCTGCTAACATTTGTGTTGCAGCATTCTGGGAAGCAATACCTTTATTCCCTTCTCCACGATAAACTACTTACTCAAAAGACAAGCAGTCCATCCTCTTTTGCGGATTGGTAGCTTATAGAGATCGATTACACATTGTTGGCTCTTGAGAACCTGCTAACATTTATCTTGCTCCGTTCTGGAAAACTATACCTTTATTATCATCAATGTTTACTATTATTCTCCTTCTCTATTCCACGATAAACGACTTACTCAAAACACCAGAAACAGTCCATTCTCTTTTGCGGTTGACAGATTGGTAGCTTCGATAAAGCTAGTGGGAGATTCGGAAGACCACATCTCTTCCGAATCTCCCACTGTTTTAAACTACAACATTGTTTAAGCTGATGTTTCGGTTTTAACGGAATTTATTCCAAAACTGAACTGATGGAACTATTGGGCTATTGAGAAGTCGAATCATTTGAATTGAATGGTGTAAAGCCTCCAGGAAAAGGAAATGAATTCCGCTTTCAAGCAGCGAATGATTTGAACCTGGTATATCGGTTCCAGGAAGATGAAATGAATTTCGCTTTTATGCAGTTAATCACTTATACTGCTGCTCGAATAAATGATCAAACGGTTATTCATGACGACTGATTTCGCAAATGTACACGATCTAGTTTCTCTTCCTATTACCTTCACTACATCTTTCCCAATTTCCCAAAGATTAGAGTGCAACTTTAGGCCAACAATTTTGGAACTACTTTATGCATCTTTCAAAGTTCGATATTCTCCTAAGCAATACGATCATTTAGTCCAAAGATTGAATCGATTCAACAGCAAAAATGAGCACACAGTTGTCCTGAGTCAAATTCAATATTGCACTGTTATAAAGGCTTCATTTTAAAGACTTTCAGAAATTTGAATTCCCAAATCTTGTAGGAGCTCTACAAACTATTAAACAGGAATTATTATTCATTCCACTTTGTCACTGTGCGTATTCTTTTAAATATATTCAAATTTATTCACTTACTCCCCCAAACATAAGATTTTGTCAATCCACTCACTCATTGTCATTTCACTACCTCCCCCCCCCCCTCGTTTTCCTCATTTTGGTTTAAAAATTCACACCATTAACTCATGTTAATCGTAAACTGCATGTTGATGGTAGTCTAAAGGAATTCCTTAGATAAAAAGGAATTCCTTTTTTGAAAACATATTGAATACTTTTATTTAAAGGTTGATTTCATTTAGTAGTAGAATTTGCACTCAGTAGTTTAACATTTTAAACAGATCCCACCCAACCTTCTCAAACTCGAACAACATTGTATTTTTGTATAACTAACCCATTAGTAGTTAGAACCAATACACAGTTTCTTAAACATATTCCCAGCAAAACTTCTTGTTTCTATCGCAAAAAAATCACCCAAAATCAACAAAACAAAAATCATGACCCAAAAAAAGAAATATTTAAGAAAATTTTCAAATTTTTAGCCAAAATTTACAAAACCAAAAAAAAAAGCCAACTTCTTTCTGATAATCTTTCTCTCTTAAATGTACAATACATCTTTATATGGGAATGTAATTTTAGACTTCTGTTCAGGCACTCGAAGAGGAAGGTAATGCGGAAAAAACACCAATTGGCAGCCATGCATCAGCAACGTGTTTTGGCACACATAAATCAACGTAAACGTGAGGCGATGACATGCTACACACAGGCCCTAACAGAGCAACCACCAAATGTAAGTAGTTTAAAATGTACGAACAGACAGACCGACAGACAGACAGACTGACTGACTGTGTGACTGACAGTCCCAGCAACTCTCGCCCCAACTCACACATAATCATCTCGTTCGTGTAAGAAATATATTTTCAAGAATTTCATGTTGTGTGTGTGTGTTCAACATTCCTTTCCTTCTCCTACATTACGTTTCCTCTTTCTTCTCTTAAAAACAAAATGTGTTACTGAGTTGCGGTATTATATGTTTTGTACAATTTTACTTTTAAAGGCTCATCATGTGGAGAAATGTTTGCAGAAATTATTGCGTGCTTTACACAAGGATCGTGCTCATGCTTTGGCTCATTATCGTCATCTCTTGAATTCCGGTGGTGCTGGCGGTTTGGAGGCTGCCGCCTCAGAACGTCCTCGCACTTTGGAACGTTTGATTGATATCGATCGTGCTGTTAATCAGTCCATGACCATGCTTAAACGTTATCCTGAATGTCCAATAAGATTTCTCAGCTCATGAATGATTACATTTTGGCTTTGCGCAGTAAAGATGACATTCCCGGCTCTTCTTTGGGCATGAGTGAAGAAGCTGAGGCTGCCATTTTAGATAAATATCGTGTGGAATTGAACGCAAGGTTGCCGAAAAGGAACGTTTACGTTTGGCCGAAGAAACAACGCAAGGAGCAAAGAGCTGCTGAACGTGAGAAATTGCGTGAGGAAAAATTGCGTTTGGAGGCCAAGAAAGTGGACGATATGGTTAAAGCCGAACAAGATTCAGGAGCCTTTACCAGTGAAGAATCCAAAACCAGCAAAGATGAGTCTATCGTAGATTCCCACAAAAATTGCTCACAGTGACAAAGATCTGGCAGCTGAGGAATATTTGGAGGCTACCTTAAGGTAAGTAATCCAAATTTTAAACAAGTTTATCATATTAATTTCTATTTCTCTTTTTCACAGCACCAAAACCCAAACCATCCTGCCCACCGTGGATGATGAGGCTGTCCAGCGTGCTGTGGAGGATGTAGCCGCCGCCGTCGCCCATCAAGAGGCCGAACCTGCTGTCCAACACTTCATGTCCCATGATTTGGGTCATCGCGAATCGGTATTTCGCTTACGCTCTCTATACCCGTATTTACCTAAAACATATCCTTTCTTTTTGCAGAGCTTCTCTCTACGCAGAGAATTCTCTCATTCACCGGCGCATGCGAATAGGAGGGTCGCAATGTCTATTTCACTTTATCCTTTGCCGGCATCGCCTTAATGGCAGCCATATTTGTGGGCATTGCTGTGGCCAAGTGGAGAACAGCTCGTTCGCCACATGCGCAAGGTTTTATTGAAGTTGATCAGGTGAGTGAAATAAAAGCGAATTTAAAATGTTTTTTTATACACAAGACCATAAACTAGATTTCAGTTCACACTACTTATACTATAACAATGACTATAATACAAGACTACAGACTACACTGTAGACTAGACTATATAATAGACTACAGACTAGACTATCTACAGGACCAAAGCCTAGAATATAGACTAGACTGAAGGACTAGACTATAGACAAAGCTATTGTCTAGACTATGAACTAGACCATAGACTAGACTATAGACTCGACTATACACTAGACTTTAAACTAGAATATGGACTAGACTATACACTCGACTACGGACTAGACTACATGCAGGACAATAGAATAGACTATAGACTAGACTGAAGACTAAACTATAGGTAAGACTATAGATTACACTATAGACAAGACTATAGACAAGACTATAGGCTAGACTATATACTAGACTAGACTACTAAATTATATACTAGACTATATACTAGACTAGACTTTATACTAGACTATATGCAGGACAATAGACTAGACTATAGACAATACTGTAGACTTAGACAATAGACTATAAGCTTGATTATAGACTATAGACTAGGCTACGGATTAGACCATATACTAGACTATAGAAAAGACTAGACTATACACAGGCCAATAGACTAGACTGTAGACTAAACAGAAGACTAGACTGAAAACTAGACTATAGACTATAAACTAGACTATAGACTATAAACTAGACAATAGACTAGGCTATAGACTAGACTATAGCTTGATTATAGACTATAGACTATAGACTAGGCTATGGATTAGACCATATACTAGACCATAGAAACGACCTAGACTACACACAGGACAATAGACTAGACTACACATAGGACAATAGACTAGACTATAGACTTAACAGCAGACTAGACTATTAACCAGTCTATAGACTAGACTACAGCCTAGACTATAGACGGGACTATAGACTAGACTATTATAGACTAGACTAGACTCTAGACGGGACTATAGACTAGACTATTATAGACTAGACTAGACTATAGACTAGACTAGACTATAGGACTCGACTAGACTATAGACTAGACATAGGACTAGACTATAGACTAGACTATAGACTAGACTATAGTCTATAGGCAATAGACTAGATTAGACTAGAGAGAGACTAGACTAGACTAGACTAGACTAGACTAGACTAGACTAGACTAGGCTAGACTAGACTAGACTAGACTAGACTAGGCTAGACTATACTAGACTATAGACTAGACTAGAATATAGACTAGACTATAGACTAGACTATAGACTAGACTATAGACTAGACTAGAATATAGACAGACTATAGACTAGACTATAGGACTAGACTATAGACTAGACTATAGACTAGACTATAGACTAGACTATAGCACTAGACTATAGACTAGACTATAGACTAGACTAGACTATAGACTAGACTAGAGACTAGACTATAGACTAGACTATAGACTAGACTATAGACTAGACTATAGACTAGACTATAGACTAGACTATAGACTAGACTATAGGACTAGACTATAGACTAGACTATAGACTAGACTATAGACTAGACTATAGACTAGACTATAGACTAGACTATAGACTAGACTATAGACTAGACTATAGACTAGACTATAGACTAGACTATAGACTAGACTATAGACTAGACTAGAGACTAGACTATAGACTAGACTATAGACTAGACCATAGACTAGGACTATAGACTAGACTATAGACTAGACAATAGACTAGACTATAGACTAGACAATAGGACTAGACTATAGACTAGACTATAGACTAGACTATAGACTAGACTATAGACCAACTATAGACTAGACTATAGACTAGACTATAGACTAGACTATAGACTAGACTATAGAGTAGACTATAGACAGACTATAGACTAGACTATAGACTAGACTATAGACTAGACTATAGACCAGACTATAGACTAGACTATATACTAGACTATAGACTATACTATAGACTAGACTATAGAATAGACTATAGACTAGACTATAGACTAGACTATAGTCTATAGACTAGACTAGATTAGACTATAGACTAGAAGAGACTAGACTATACTAGACTATACTAGACTATAGACTAGACTGTAGATAGACTAGAAAATAGACTAGACTATAGACTAGACTAGGCTAGACTATACTAGACTATAGACTAGACTATAGACTAGACTATAGACTAGACTATAGACTAGACTATAGACTAGACTATAGACTAGACTATAGACTAGACTATAGACTAGACTATAGACTAGACTATAGACTAGACTATAGACTAGACTATAGACTAGACTATAGACTAGACTATAGACTAGACTATAGACTAGACTATAGACTAGACTATAGACTAGACTATAGACTAGACTATAGACTAGACTATAGACTAGATATAGACTAGACTATAGACTAGACTATAGACTAGACTATAGACTAGACTATAGACTAGACTATAGACTAGACTATAGACTAGACTATAGACTAGACTATAGACTAGACTATAGACTAGACTATAGACTAGACTATAGACTAGACTAGACTAGACTAGACTAGACTAGACTAGACTAGACTAGACTAGACTAGACTAGACTAGATAGGCTAGACTAGGCTAGACTATACTTACTAGACTATAGACTAGACTATAGACTAGACTATAGACTAGACTATAGACTAGACTAGAGACTAGACTAGAGACTAGACTATAGACTAGACTATAGATAGACTATAGACTAGACTATAGACTAGACTATAAACTAGACTATAGACTAGACTATAGACTAGACTATAGACTAGACTAGATAGACTAGACTATAACTAGACTATAACTAGACATAGACTAGACTAGACTATGGATAGACTAGATAGACTATAGACTAGACTATAGACTAGACTGTAGACTAGACTATAGACTAGACTATAGACTAGACTGTAGACTAGACTATAGACTAGACTATAGACTAGACTATAGACTAGACTATAGACTAGACTATAGACTAGACTATAGACTAGACTATAGACTAGACTATAGACTAGACTATAGACTAGACTATAGACTAGATATAGCTAGACTATAGACTAGACTATAGACTAGACTATAGACTAGACTATAGACTAGACTATATACTGACTATAGACTAGACTATAGACTAGACTATAGACTAGACTATAGACTAGACTATAGACTAGACTATAGACTAGACTATAGACTAGACTATAGACTAGACTATAGACTAGACTATAGACTAGTCTATAGTCTAGTCTATAGTCTAGTCTATAGTCTTGTCTATAGTCTTGTCTATAGTCTAGTCTATAGTCTAGTCTATAGTCTAGTCTATAGTCTAGTCTATAGTCTAGTCTATAGTCTAGTCTATAGTCTAGTCTATAGTCTAGTCTATAGTCTAGTCTATAGTCTAGTCTATAGTCTAGTCTATAGTCTAGTATATAGTCTAGTCTATAGTCTAGTCTATAGTCTAGTCTATAGTCTAGTCTATAGTCTAGTCTATAGTCTAGTCTATAGTCTAGTCTATAGTCTAGTCTATAGTCTAGTCTATAGTCTAGTCTATAGTCTAGTCTATAGTCTAGTCTATAGTCTAGTCTATAGTCTAGTCTATAGTCTAGTCTATAGTCTAGTCTACAGTCTAGTCTATAGTCTAGTCTATAGTCTAGTCTACAGTCTAGTCTATAGTCTAGTCTATAGTCTAGTCCATAGTCTAGTCCATAGTCTAGTCTAGTCTATGGTCTAGTTATAGTCTAGTATAGTCTAGTATGTCTAGTCTATAGTCTAGTCTATAGTCTAGTCTATAGTCTAGTCTATAGTCTAGTTTATAGTCTAGTCTATAGTCTAGTCTATAGTCTAGTCTATAGTCTAGTCTATAGTCTAGTCTCTAGTCTAGTCTCTAGTCTAGTCTATAGTCTAGTCTATAGTCTAGTCTATAGTCTAGTCTATAGTCTAGTATAGTATAGTCTAGCCTAGTCTAGCCTAGTCTAGTCTAGTCTAGTCTAGTCTAGTCTAGTCTAGTCTAGTCTAGTCTAGTCTAGTCTAGTCTAGTCTAGTCTATAGTCTAGTCTATAGTCTAGTCTATAGTCTAGTCTATAGTCTAGTCTATAGTCTAGTCTATAGTCTAGTCTATAGTCTAGTCTATAGTCTAGTCTATAGTCTAGTCTATAGTCTAGTCTATAGTCTAGTCTATAGTCTAGTCTATAGTCTAGTCTATAGTCTAGTCTATAGTCTAGTCTATAGTCTAGTCTATAGTCTAGTCTATAGTCTAGTCTATAGTCTAGTCTATAGTCTAGTCTATAGTCTAGTCTATAGTCTAGTCTATAGTCTAGTCTATAGTCTAGTCTATAGTCTAGTCTATAGTCTAGTCTATAGTCTAGTCTATAGTCTAGTCTATAGTCTAGTCTATAGTCTAGTCTATAGTCTAGTCTATAGTCTAGTATAGTCTAGCCTAGTCTAGTCTATAGTCTAGTCTATTTTCTAGTCTAGTCTACAGTCTAGTCTATAGTCTAGTATAGTCTAGTATAGTCTAGTCTCTTCTAGTCTATAGTCTAATCTAGTCTAGTCTATAGACTATAGTCTAGTCTATAGTCTAGTCTATAGTCTATTCTATAGTCTAGTCTATAGTATAGTCTATAGTCTAGTATATAGTCTAGTCTATAGTCTGGTCTATAGTCTAGTCTATAGTCTAGTCTATAGTCTAGTCTATAGTCTGGTCTATAGTCTACTCTATAGTCTAGTCTATAGTCTAGTCTATAGTCTAGTCTATAGTCTAGTCTATAGTTGGTCTATAGTCTAGTCTATAGTCTAGTCTATAGTCTAGTCTATAGTCTAGTCTATTGTCTAGTCTATAGTCTAGTCTATTGTCTAGTCTATAGTCTAGTCTATAGTCTAGTCTATGGTCTAGTCTATAGTCTAGTCTATAGTCTAGTCTATAGTCTAGTCTATAGTCTAGTCTATAGTCTAGTCTATAGTCTAGTCTATAGTCTAGTCTATAGTCTAGTCTATAGTCTAGTCTATAGTCTAGTCTATAGTCTAGTCTATAGTC